CTGCGCCCTGCTGCGGGATGGCGCGCCGGGCTGACGGCTGCCCTACCGGACCGTGGGTTCGGCCTACCTATGGTCGTCGGCCAGGCCCCGGCCCGCGTCGAGTCCGCCGCGCTGCACGGCACGGAGATGTTGGCGAGCCACGCGCGCGGCTGGAAGGCTGTCGCGGCGCAGCTGAACCGCGCGTACTATGATGTGGCGAAGGCCTCCCTTGGGCTCCCTCCCGGCACGTCCTCCGGCGATGGCGGGTACCTCCAGGTTTCCCTGGAAGCGCGACTGCTGACGGGAGTGGCCGCCAAAGTCGCCCAGCGCATCATCTTGGGATGGGCTCGGCTGCCGGCGCTCCCGGAGGACTCGCCTGTCGCGCCCGCCGTTCAGGCCGCGGTCGCCCACGGCGGGGGGACGTGGCTCCAAGACGCGGCGGCGGTGGCGCAGAGCCTGGGGGTGGGGCCGCCACCAGAGGCGCTGTTTGCCGAGGCGGCGGGCGGGCCCATGGCCCGCCGCAGCGCAGTGCGGCGATGGGCGCGGTCCGTGGTCGTCCCCCGCGCGCGGGAGGTGGAGCGGGAGTGGTTTTGCGAGCAGGTGGCCAAGCTGAACGAAACGGGGCTGCTCCCCATCGCAGCAGGTGCTCCCCCTGCGGCAGGCGTGGCCGGCTGACCTACGGTGGGCCTCCTGGGGGCAGACCCAGTGGCGCCTCCACCGCGCCTGGTGCATGGCGCGGGTCACGTCGGAGCTGCCCACGGCGATCTGGGGCAGGGCGGCCACCCGCATGCCGATCACTTGCGCCCTGTGCGGGCGCGATGCGGCAGGTCTGCATCACCTGCTAGCCCGGCGCTCGGGCACTGAGGCGCTGCGTGCAGCCCTTGTCGAGGAATGGGCGCCCCCGCCTGGCCTGGCCGAGTGGGTGCTCACGGACACGGACAATCGGGAGGAACTCGCAGCGAAGGTCCAGTTCCTCGGGCTCTCGTGCGCGGCGCTGGTGCGCGGCCCTGCGCTTGCGCGTGGGCTGGGCACCAGCCGCTTGCTTTCTCCCGACCTTGGGTTGGGATGGCAGCCAGTCGCTGGCGCCTGTCGCGCGGGGCTGCGGGCTGGCCTGGCCCGGTGGCCAGGGCCATCGTGCCGGGCTCAGGCGGGTTGGCGGCGGGGTCGCTGGGCGTGCCATGGCGCCGGTGGCTGGGTTCGCGTCGGCCGGGCTCCCCTTTGCAGGGAGGTTTCGGGGACGCCAGGCAGGGCCGCTGCAGGACGTAGTCTGCTCAGCGCGCGGCGCTGCCGGCCGGCTTCGCCGGAGGGCCGGCTGTCTTCGCCGGGGGCTCGGAGCGAGGCGGCTGTAGAGGTCAAGGAGGTTGTTCGACTGGCGCCGCTGGCCCACTGCGTCGAAGGTCGCCCTCCCCTCCGTCGTCCTCGTCGCCTCCCTTCGTCTCGGTGGTCGTGGTCGTGGTCGTCGTGGTCGTCGAGGTCGTGGTCGTCGTGGTCGTCGTCGTCGTCGTCGTCGTCGTCGTTCTCCCCGTCCCCTCCTCCTCTGGCGTCCTCCTCCTCCTCCGTTTCTCCCCCGGTCGCCCGCTCCCTCGTCGTCGTCCTCGTCGTCTCCCTTCGTCTCCGTCGTCCCCCTCGCCGCGGCGGGCGAGTTGCGCCGGATCCCGGTCTGGCGGAGGGGCAGGCCAGGGAAGCCCATCACCGACCGCAGACTCGAGCCAAGGGCGAGGTGCCTCTCTTCTTGCCCCTCCACTCCCCTCCGCCTCCTCCCCCCCCACGCTTCCGGAGCCGCGCTGGAACCTGCGGGTTACCACTGGGTTACCACGCAGGCCGAGCCCGCCCAGCCCGCCCGACCGCTCTGGCGGCCTGCCCCGCCTTCGGGAACAGGCCACTCAAGGGTGGGGGGCTGCGGGGCTTGCCCAGCGTTAGGGCAGGGCCCTCGTGGAAGCGCAGCGCGGCCGCGCCGCCCGGCCTTCTAGGCGCCCCCCCGGGCGCCAGCCGGGGAGAGGCGGCCAGGGGCCCGGGGGCACGGACCCGCAAGCAGGCGATCCCCCTCTGGGGCGCTGGCCCGCCGACCCCGACTGCGTTGGCCCATAGGCCCTCCAGGGTGGTGGCGCTCGCGGCGGGGCGGTCGGCCCTGAGGGGTCTTTCAACTTATGAGCAGTCCAGTGAGCAGTCCTCCCTCCTCCCTCCTCCATCCTCCATCCTCCCTCCTCCCTCCCTCCTTCCTCCTCCCTCCTTCCTCCTCCTCCTCCTTCCTCCACCTTCCCTCCTCCTCCTCCCTCCTCCTCCTCCCTCCTCCCTCCTCCTCCTCCTCCTCCTCCTCCTCTCTCCTCCTCCTCCTCCCTCCTCCTCCTCCCCTCCTCTCCTCCTCTCCTCCCTCTCTCCTTCTCCTCCTCCTCATCCTCCTCTCCTCCTCCTCCTCCTGCCTGCTCCCTGCTCCCTGCTCCCTGTCCCTGCTCCTCTCCCCCCTCTCTCCTCCTCACTCCTCCTCCTCCTCCTCCTCCTCCTCCTCCTCCTCCTCCTCCTC